GAGACAATGCTTCTGGTAAATAATTTGTCTTTGTATTCTTACATAATTCATGTATTTTTGTGGTATTTCTTTTGTTTTTGGTTAAAATACAGATACAATTTTATTTATTTCATTAATGTTCAGTTTTAGATTGAATAATAACTGTTGAAGTGGAGAAATAAATTATTTTTTTTGCTTAATATTGCCTCACTTGATTGTTTTATGTGTTTTTTTTTTAGATTTTTTTTTACATGGAGTATCTAATTTTATGCGGTTTTTGAAAATGCTGGAACCAAGGGATGCGTTTTTGTATGAAAGTAAAGAACTTTTTTATGCGGCTTTGTGAGGAACGTATGTACCGCATGAAAAAAGACCTAAGTGCACATATGTATGTATGTACATTAGCGTGGTCCAAAATGCATGTGAAAAAGTGAAGTCGGAATTTATTGCCGACCCCCTAGGATTGTTCTATACAAAAAAAAAATATAAGCCTATTATATATTTTGAAATCAAAAAATACTTAGGGAGGGCTCAAAGCGCTAAAAGTTTGCCATGTATTTTATATGGGAAAAAACCACTTTTCGTAGAAATGGTATAGAATTCTTGAAAATGAATATTTTTCGGTCGTAAAACTCTGTTTCACTACAGGAGACTCCCAATAATAATACCCAATTGTTTCTTTAACAATTTTCTTATGGGGGGAACAATAAAAAATCGTTAGTATTAAAAAATGGTTTAATAAACAATTGGATATTAATATTGGAAATCTCCTGAAGAGAACCACAGTTTCCGATCAAAAAATATTGATTTCAATTAATTCTATACCATTTCTACGAAAAGTTGTTTTTCCCCATACATATAAAATACATGAAAAACTTTGAGCGCTTTGAGGGACTTCTAAATATTTTTTGATTTCAAAATAAAAAAAAATGGGGGCATATTTTTTCGGTATGGAACAATCCTAGGGATGGAGGCATCAAAGTTCCGAATTTACTGTTTTGGACTATGGACTAATGTACATACCAGTGTACTGCAGCAAGCTACTTACATTTCAAGCTACTTGAAAGCTTATTTACTTGTATTCACTGGGCTTGGTTCGAAACAAGCAAGTAAATGCTTAGCTCAGTAGAATGAGAAGAAAAACGGGAAGAAATGAATCCCCATATTGGGGGAAGAATATAAAATTTCACATTTTCTCCTTAACAAAATTTGCTTTTTATATTCGTTATGAAATGAAATAAAATAAGATAAAATACCTTTTTAAGAAAACAAAGTGTGTGTATACTGGGAAAAAATAAAAAGCACTCAACTATATTAATGGGCCAAAGAATAGTTAAAGAAGTAGCACTGTTTCACGTAAGGCGGAATTAGAGCGAGAAGTTGCCAACTGATAACACCTGTATTATTGCATCATGGTACATGCATACGTATCGTTATCTTAATATCGAAAAGCCTAATCTATCGTTTATATTATTTGTACAGTGTACATAGAATGTTTGTTATTATGAGTATTGGTAGTTTAGAGGGAAAAATTGCCAAGTCCGTTTTGATATATTAGGCCAGATAAATTAAAAATGTATCGTGTCGAAAAGGATTAAGGCACTTGTTCTATTTTTTCTCGTTTATATTCAAAGAAATGCAAATTAGCTATGTCCAAAATATGCACAAAATATGTAATAAAGCCAAAAAAATACGAAATCTTTTAATACAGATCGAATATTTCTGTTTCGTGCAGAGTTTAGCTTTGCTTTAAACACGCAAAATGTATTCAAAGTTTTGCGAAATAATTGAAGGAAATGTCTATTTAGAAGTATGTTTCGTCTTGTAATATTTGTAAAAATGGACTTGGCAACTTTTCACTCTAAGCTAGCGATATTCAATATTGCCAGTCACTTTCTGTTGGTATCTGAGTTCAAAATAATTCTCTAGCGGATAAAAGACATACATATGTAGGTACTTTAAATTCAATGATTCGCTAAGGTAAAAGGCTAGAAGACGATTAGAAAAACTGGCGAGAATTGACTACTAAAAGGTGACTTGGTTCTCAATATAGAGAAAGAGGTTAGATATCTAAATGTATTCTAACGTTCAATTCTAATAGGTTTCCAATGTCTAGTACTCTTCTAATCATTTTAAAATTCAAAATGGCTGCTCCAATATGGCGGACAAATTTTTCAAAAATGATTGAATTCGCTCGAAACTTGTTACTAGGAGGTTTTTGGATTCGCTAATTATGAATCTGACCATGAATTTTTAAAATTCAAAATGAGGATCCAATATGGCGGACAAATTTTAAAAAACATATTTTAATTCGCTCGAAACTTGTTACTCGGACGCTCTTGGGGTTGTTGCCGCGATATTGGAGAAACCAAACCATTCTTAAAATTTAAAACAATTGTAAGGGTGTCAATTAAGAATTAGTTTTTAATAAATTTGAAGTCGGAACTCAGCGAAACTATTTAGTTTTTTTTCTATTTGATAATGCATTTAAAATAATTTCAAGTTCAACTTTTCACGCTAAACTTACAGAGCTATAAAAAAAAATATATTTATTAAAGTTAAGAATTTAAGAACTAATTTTTCTATTACCGATAATCACTTCTCTTCATGAAAAACACAAAAAAAAATTGCAATAGACGCACCGTTACACTTTCCATAGCTAATCGAAATCGCAAAAAAAATTTTTTCCTGCTACAGCTAACTGACTGCCACCGACTATCCAACTTATAAGCTTAATTTTTTTTATTAGTTAAAGAGATCAAAGAATAAAATATGAGTAACAGTTATCTATTGTATTGAGAAGTAAGACCATGCCATTTCGTCCCGCTAATTTAGTGAATCCGACCTGTGTGGGCCGGCGGAAGTTTCCAACGATATTCAATGGGCCGTATGAATAAAAACTAAGCAATTGCTTTTTCTTAAAATGTTATACTTTTTACTTCAATTTTGTTTGCATAAATCGAGTGAAAGGTCTGAAATTTTAAGAAAGAGCAATTGCTTTTTATTATTCATACGTTCCAATATTGATTTTTAACAATGTTCTGTAAAACATACATACAGTATCGATCGTATCAATAGTACCCCCATTTCAAAGTGATATTATTTGCCCCTATTTTTTTTTTTGTTTTTAAGAATTTTCAATTAAAAAACGGTTCATTCTCAAACAAAACCCATATCAACCCAAGTTTAAAACTTTGTTGAAAACTGAAAAAATTCAACAAATTTTCATCAAAATTTCAAATTCTTTTCTCAGAAGTGTTAGATATTTTTGAGTACCCAGTTTTATAGCCCATTCAATTTTAGTGTAATAATGTGCAAGTTTCAAGGGGCTAAAAATTACCGTCGATTTTTTATCGTATTTACTTCCATATAACGAATAAACCCTATTTATTTTTATATGAAAGAAAACCGCAACATTTTCGGCCAAAAAAGAGATTTGTAATAAAATGCCGACATAAAAAATCCTGGAAGACTTACAGCTGCGAGCACTAAAATAGTAGTAGTGTGCCCTAGCGCACACATACATTTTATTGGAAAACTAAAGGACAATTTCATAACTAAATAAAGGGTCAAAAGAGTTTTATTTAAATATTTATCTCATTTTATTTCATTTCATAACGAATATACTATAAAAAAGCAAATTTTGTTAAGGAGAAAATGTGAAATTTTATATTTTTCCCCCATATGGGGATTCATTTCTTCCCGTTTTTCTTCTCATTCTACTGAGCTAAGGCAGTTTCAAATCGAGCTGTCACAACTGATACCACCTTGTATTATTGCATCATGGTGTTTTTACGAAAATTGCTGCGAGTAGTAAAATAGTAGTATATAATAAATAAAGTGTTAATGATAATTTGTTTTCAAAGAATTTTATTCAGCTGACTTTGTGTGAAGCAGTAACTCAACTAAAAGGGAATTGACTCAGTTAAATTTCCGTCTGAACTTAACATAAGCGACAAACATTATGTGAAGTTTATGAATAATTGTCTATAAAATCAAAATTTATTGTTTTTAAATGGAAATTTTCGATGCATGTTTGTTTACTCGTTAAGCGCAGATGTATGTATGTGCGTGTAAAAAAAACACGGAAATATATCTACAGTCACCCAGAAGTATTCGTTTTTTAGGATTTTTACAACATTCGAAATGTTTTCACAAAATTATTTTTAGAAAACGAATTTTCGCAGGGAAATTACCTGCGCTTCAAGTATTCCAAAGAAAGGAATTAAGCAAAGGAGTTAACTATGTAAAGCAACTATCGATAGTTTGGAACAAATGCAGTTGGGCTCCAAATCTCAAAAAAAAAACAAAAAAATATTGGAATCGATAGAGATGATTGAGCTGAGTATAACGGTATACTTCTACTTTTTTGGGCAAACAACAACAACAAAAATTATCAAAGGTTAAAGTTCAAAATAAGCAATTTTTGAAATCAAGATTTCTTAAAAACGGATAGATGGATCTTAAAAATTTTAATTTCATTTAATTTTGATTTAATAGGAAATTTGTTTCCCTTTAATTTGGTATACGTACTTTATATATATGTTGTATAGTTCTTACAAAAATTGAATCAATGTAAAATAATTATAAAAAAAAACTTACAAACCCTAAATGCAACCGACGCCGCCTACGCAAATTAAAGGGAATCAAATTTGCTATTAAATGAGATCAAAATTTTTAAAATCCATTCGTTCGTTTTTGAGAAATCTTGATTTGAAAAATTGCTTATTTTGAACTTTAACCTTTGATAATTCTTGTTGTTGTTGTTTGCCCAAAAAAATAAGTATACCGTTATACTCAGCTCAATCATCTCTATCGATTCCAATATTTTGTTTTTTAATTTGAGATTTGGAGCCCAACTGCATTTATGCCGATAGTTTTTTAAAACCATCGATAATGTTGGAAAATTAAAACTATGGATAGTACCATCGATAGTTGTCCACCTCGCGTATATAAGTTTGGTTTGGCTTTTGCGGTTTTTATTAAGGGCGCTAAGTAAACTCGGGGGATATTTATTTAAAACCTCTCACTTTGGCATAAGCAATTTTTGCCAGATATGGACAAGCTATTAAATAAAGAATTAATTAATGCTAATCGGACATTAAAACAAATTATATCCGCATACCAAACGGAGTTGGTGAATATTCGCGCCGAATTAATGGAACAGCGTCGCGTTCGAGTTGAGGCAGAACGTGAGTATCGCAACAGTTTGCTTTCATTTTGCACACAAAATTTTCTTTCGTTTGCACATAAAATCGACGAAAACGTGTATTGGAGATACTGAGCCATAACCAAACTGCACAGATCATGAATTCTCAGTCCGGTATCCGCGCACAAAGTGGTGGGAGGGAACAAGTGCAGGGAGCACACGCCTTAGAAGCACACAGCTTGTTTCATACATTCGACGCTCAAGTGCCATGTGCCGACAACAAAGTGTAGTAATATGTCGCCGTTGGCGAAGAAAATCAAAGCGGGAATGACATGGATTTGGATAATTAATTAAATGAAGGAGGTGGTATAGATACGGTGACCATTCGTACCGATTTTGACGGGACAGTACCAATTTTTAGAAAATTGTCCCGCTGAATATTTTTTAAAAGTCGGGACATATAAGTGTTCAGATTTTTTATATTTGTACGGATTATGTCCCGATTTTCAGTGTTTTCTTTATTAATCAGAGAACATAGAATATAAGGGAGCCGTAAACATTGGTTATATTTTATTTCAAATTGGTGCCCTCCCTATGTTGCAGTCCATCACTCTTGGCTGAGTTTTTTATCTAAGCTTTTTATAATTATTTGTTAATTTTTGTTTTTTTTCATGAATTTAGTGAGAATAAAAAAATAATGATACTAACTTCATCAAAAAAATCATGGATATAAAAAATTTAAGCTGTAGATACAGTGGTAAAACTATAAATAGGGAAGAGATGGTTTAGAATTATTCGGCTATTACCCTTTCGATTATTTAATTTTTATGAAGTGTAGCTCGTTATTTAACAAAGACCATGCGAGTCAAAATTTCAAACGTTGAAAATTATCTAAGTTCAACAAAGTTTCAACAAAATTTTGAGCTTTTTAGATTTCGTAGAAACTTTTCGAGTGTTCAGTTTTGTAGCCCATTCAATTCAAAGTGCAAATTTTAAGTAGCTGTGACTTACAGTTAATTTTGGTAATATTTTTATTTTTTTTTTGAGGGGCTTACTCATTTTCTCCATACAAAAAAATTGTCGAACATACTTTGTATGGAAAAAAACGCGCGAACAAAATAATTGCTAAATCAACGCTAACAGGGGGTGTTGAGGAAGTGCTCATTGACCGATATCTTCAACATTTTGTGTAGAAATGCTAATAGTTTCGAAGTTATTTGTTGTTAAAATTTCCCCATTACTTTTCGTATTTTTTATATAAACACTGACTAATCACTTTTCTTTTCATAAATAGATCATCTTCATAAACAAATGAATGTACGTATTTTTTTTTCTAAATATTTAACAATTAATGCTTATAAAAGTGTTCTTAATGTTGAAACGTTAATAAAAACGTTAAACGTTTAATTTGAAGTGTGTTGGCAATGCCATAATAAGCAGTCAGCAGCGTTGGCGTTTTGATAAAATTGTATCATTTTGATACTTTTTTTTCTAAACTGTAAGATTTTATACTTTGATACATTTTTGTTCACAAAAGTCCCATTTTGATACTTTTGAATGGCAGAAATGAATTTTTGAAAACTATGAATAATATAAATAGTTTAAACGTAAACAATTTTTTTCTTGTTATTTAAAGTCTTAAAATTTATATATAGATATTAATAGATTTGATTTGGTACCTATTATAAGGGAAATATAACCCGGAACTTCTTTGCAAACGCCGCTGTTATAGGGCATCTAAACCACACAAAAACTGCGCAATATCGGGCTTACGTCGGTCGTTAGTGTGGTGTGCGGGGTTGTCTGTACTAAATTGCACAGTTATTGCGCTAAAATCAAAACCACTTTTATATATTTTGCTCATGCTTGTGTTATTGTACAATAATTTGTGCTGCGTTTGACGACAAGTGCGGAATTTATAGTCTAGTTTTGATTTTGGTGTCCAGATCGTGCTATAAAATATGGATAAGAGCGTCGAAAAAAATTAAATTTTTTTAATATTCTTTTTTTGCGTTTTAAAGCAGTCGGCATTTTTTACTGTCAGGACGCCTACGTCACGGAGACAATTATTAGGGTTTTTGACAAATACTTATTTCTTTATCGTCTTGGCAGCATTGTCTAATGTAAACGCGCCGTAAAGTACGTTCTCTCCGCTATCGTATTTTTCACCACACTTATTGGATGTCAGTTCTGAAAGTTGGCAGTACTGACTGCGAAATGTCAAATTCTCGTGTTTTGTACTTTTCTTCCTCTTTCTCTTTCTTTTCTGATTTTCCAGGCTTGGTGGGTGTTTTGTGTTCTTTGCCAAAATTTAATCTTAAAATATTTCAATTTACTTGAGCCATCGCCGAAATATTTTAAGTAAAATGTGTATTTTAAATTATTCCTATTATAGTTAAGAAACTATTTTATTGTTTTGTTATGTTTTGATACACTTTTTTGTGTACTCACGAATTGTGTGATGGCGACGGCGACGGCGACGGCCCTATACTTGTATATTAGTAATGCAGCTCTAACGATTTATACGCATTCTTTGATTTACAGGTATTGAAAGCCAGAAATGGGTCGTGTTATTCGTGCACAACGTAAAGGCGCTGGGTCCGTCTTCAAGGCCCATGTTAAGAGGCGTAAGGGAGCCGCCAAATTAAGACCTTTGGATTTCTCTGAACGCAATGGATATATTCGTGGCGTGGTTAAGGTAAATTAATGCAATAAAAATGCTAGTAACAAGTAGTTAAACGTGAATAATTTTTTACAGGAAATTATCCATGATCCCGGCCGCGGTGCTCCCTTGGCTGTTGTACACTTCCGTGACCCCTATCGCTACAAAATTCGCAAGGAATTGTTCATTGCACCAGAGGGCATGCATACCGGCCAATTCGTGTACTGTGGCCGCAAAGCTACCTTGCAAATCGGCAATGTGATGCCACTGTCAGTCATGCCTGAAGGTACCATCATTTGCAATTTAGAGGAGAAGACTGGTGATCGTGGCCGTTTGGCACGTACATCAGGTAACTACGCAACTGTGATTGCCCACAATCCCGACACCAAGAAGACCCGTGTCAAGCTGCCGTCTGGTGCCAAGAAAGTTGTGCCCTCCGCCAATCGTGCTATGGTTGGTATTGTTGCCGGTGGTGGTCGTATCGACAAGCCCATCTTGAAGGCTGGTCGAGCATATCACAAGTATAAGGTGAAACGCAACAGCTGGCCAAAGGTTCGTGGTGTGGCTATGAACCCCGTTGAGCATCCTCACGGTGGTGGTAACCATCAACATATTGGTAAAGCTTCAACAGTCAAACGTGGTACATCTGCTGGTCGTAAGGTCGGTCTCATCGCTGCCCGTCGTACCGGTAGAATACGTGGTGGTAAGGGAGATAGCAAGGACAAATAAGCTAAATTATGATCAGAATGCGTGCAGGAGTAAATATAGAAGAAGTGAGAAGTTTGTGTATTTGATAGCGAATACAAGGAAATTAATATGGAACCACTTTTACACAATAAAAATCACTGTTTTAAAAATTTACTTATTTATTGCCTTTGTGTAATCTGTATTATCGTACGCAACCCAAACTTGCTACCGAAAGTTGACATCTCTCGCGATAAAAGTAATAACTTCCAAAATAAGAGAAAGTTACTCACAGATGTATTCGTTTCTTTGTTTTTTTTACGATATTCAAAATGTCTTCCATTATCTTTTTCGTTAATTTTTATTAAAAATTTAGCTCAATTTGTAACAAAAATCATGTAAATTAATTTTGCGAACTTCTTCAAAAGTCTGAGAATTAAAAAAAAAAATGCTACCAAAGTTTTTAATAATGCCGAATTTCCACTAGGTATTGAAATGACAAAAAATGGATGTCATTAAAAAAAATGCCAAGCGGAGATTAACTCAATGACCATTTTTTTTAATGTCAAAGTTGGGCATTAAAAAATAATCATGTCATTAAGTTCATTCCTACATGGCATTTTTTAAATGGCATAAATATTTTGTAATTTCAATGCCTAGTAGAAATTCGGCATTAGATTTAACAAAATTTAAGTATAGGTACAGTTCGGTAGCCCTGATCAATGGTATTCCTAGGCACTACAAAGCTTGCACTTAATTACTTTGAATTTGAATGTACTACAAAACTGCATATCTACTCAAAAAAAATTCTAAAAACTCTGAGCTCGAATCGTAACATCCGTTCATGGATCGAAAATCATACGAAAGAAATGATAAGTGGGATATAGAGTATGTTCGCGTATGTCATAACATGAAAACCGATTGAAACGAAGATTCGAGTCCTGATTAATAAGTTTGAAATTTTGATGGGCGCAATTTAAATTTTGCAACAGTGCGTTATATTTTAAATAGAAATTAACGAAAATGATTAAAAATATCGGCGCTGATGCATAAATGGTTAAGGCATTTAGCATTTTGTGCCCACATAGTTACATTCGCGTACCTTTTACTGAATTTTGCTGGAAATGAGTAAACAAACAACTAATTATTGACGTATCAGCTTTTGACATTGAGGTACGCAAACAAAAATTGCAAACTAGGGGAAATTGAGAAAGCAAAGTGACGTGTAATTTTGAGAGGTTTCTGCTGAAAAAAACACTGGCATCGTGGACACTTTTCCATGTACCGAAACCCCGGGATTACAGCTCCGGGATTCCGATATTTTTACTGATTCATTTACAGAATAAAAGAGATGTTGAAAACAAAAAAAAAAAAATAGTTAATTTGACATGAAACACGAGAAATACAGAACACCAAAATTTAAACTCAAAGTGAACTTCAGCCATTTGCACTCGGAAGTGAATTTCAGAACCTGCCTGAATAATTGTACTTGTTCAAACATTTTGTGCAAAAACTGTGTAATAACGAAAAATCTGGTAGCAATTGAAAACACAACAAGCTTTTAAAGTGGCAGATTTGTTCTTCATTTTACTTTGTTGGCCCTTTTTTTGGAAGAGGAATTCTGCAAATATAAGTAAGTGTTTTTGACAAGTAATATAGATATTTAAGTATACTCTAAAAATATTTAAACACTAAATTGCGGACTATTTTACGAAGGGGCACTACGCTCCCCGTAAAATCAAATGTGGTGACAATGAATCTCTGTGGTTTAAGAAAAGCGAACCTACTGCAAAATGCAAAAAAATTGTGATGGAGTCGACGTTCCGAAAAAACTCGGGTTCCCGGTATTAGAATTTTTGCATACAGAAATCCCGGGATTTGTAAAATGCTTCGGATTGATTTCCACAAACATAAACTTTTAAGTTCATACAATTCTTCCCTTAA